AAATACCCCTCTGTAGGGTGTAGCTGTTGGGTACAAGATTGGGTGGGGTCCAGAGCCGACCTGGACTCGATGATAAAAACAAATGACTCAAGGCGAAAGTTTTGGCGTAATCTGTGTTGAACCTTTTGATATGGGATATTTCGTTATCTAATGTTGGTACTTCCTAGTACTGTAATAAGCCTGATTGAAGGATGTCCTCTCTTTTGCAGACTGAGAGGGTGGTAAGTGGTAAGTAACATACCCTACGGATTTGACGACGCCGTGAATGGCGTTGGTCCTGGTGGCTTGACCTCAGCGTGCCAGCATGCGAGCGTCTCCTCTTGGAAACCGTCGGTACTGACTCGGAACCAGAAAGAAGCCGTCTCAGGACCGTCATCTTGACACTGACGACACACCTTGTTCACAGACGGCTCGTTATTACGACACTCATTGCGATGTAAGTGGGGGCCACGTTGTAAAGGTTTCCCTTATAGAGGCACAGCGAAACAAACGTGAGGTCCGAGGTTCGAATCACGGCCTGGAATTTTATATTGTTTTTCTAAGTCTTACCAGGTATGACTAAGATTTAGCAATGAACGACTGAAACCAAATCTAATCGGAATCACCACCAATGAAAGAAAATAGGTGATGATGATCTGAGGCCAGTTTTAACCTTTTTTTTACGAAGTTTGCAAAAAAAATAATTAATTAACTTTCTTTACCTGTAAATTTTCATACCGACTAAATAATTAAATTGTTTAAAAATCATATATTTCAATAGTTCGGTACATAATTTCTGAATTGATGCCAAATACTGTTTCTTAATAAAGGTATGTAATCCATAACATGTTTTCTTCAACGAGATATCTCGTTTTTAATATTACTTTTACGAGCTGAAGGAATTTTAGGCGGGAGGTATGGACAAACCATCCGAAATTCTAACCTCTGTTACTTTTCTTTGGATGCGATTGACAAGAGTCAAAGAACTGTCGGAAAACACACAACTTCATTATTTCAGGTGAATAATCTTAACTACATGATGCAGCGTTGTCATTGACGAGTTTATACTAATACAGTGCCCATTTACAAACTGGTGTTGAACACGCGTTTGGCGCAAGTAGACAGAAGGAAACCCTGGGTTACCACATTTAGATCTCAATTACTGGCCAACAGACAGAATAATCTTGGATCGGACGCCAAGTCGTTTGTCACGCCCAACATGAAAACCTTGTCAACCACCGAAACACCGTCGAACCACAAGACTAACACTCCGTCACTACATAATGTCGCGTGCCAACTGATTGTGTTCTGTTGAGGCTCAGCTGGAGGGCGGCTTAAAGAGGAAACCCTACACTGATTCACACACGGCACAGTGGCGGAGCAACACTGGCGTATCATGCCGTCAATTATAATACCCGATTCACGATGTCCATAATCGTAGAGTTCTGCTGTACGTTATTCATGTTAATCCACGTGTTTGTAAAAGGTTAAAAAAAAAATCTTCAGCTACGTCTGTTACAGATCGCGGGCCTAACCCTTTGAAGCCTAAGCTCGTCTAAATAATATTTACGAATTCAGTCCGTACCGCGAAGAAACCACAACTCTTCACCATTACAAAGATCAACTGGTTAACCCTTGAAGCCTAAGCTCGTCTAAATAATATTTACGAATTCAGTCCGTACCGCGAAGAAACCACAACTCTTCACCATTACAAAGATCAACTGGTTAACCCTTGAAGCCTAAGCTCGTCTAAATAATATTTACGAATTCAGTCCGTACCGCGAAGAAACCACAACTCTTCACCATTACAAAGATCAACTGGTTAACCCTTGAAGCCTAAGCTCGTCTAAATAATATTTACGAATTCAGTCCGTACCGCGAAGAAACCACAACTCTTCACCATTACAAAGATCAACTGGTTAACCCTTGAAGCCTAAGCTCGTCTAAATAATATTTACGAATTCAGTCCGTACCGCGAAGAAACCACAACTCTTCACCATTACAAAGATCAACTGGTTAACCCTTGAAGCCTAAGCTCGTCTAAATAATATTTACGAATTCAGTCCGTACCGCGAAGAAACCACAACTCTTCACCATTACAAAGATCAACTGGTTAACCCTTGAAGCCTAAGCTCGTCTAAATAATATTTACGAATTCAGTCCGTACCGCGAAGAAACCACAACTCTTCACCATTACAAAGATCAACTGGTTAACCCTTGAAGCCTAAGCTCGTCTAAATAATATTTACGAATTCAGTCCGTACCGCGAAGAAACCACAACTCTTCACCATTACAAAGATCAACTGGTTAACCCTTGAAGCCTAAGCTCGTCTAAATAATATTTACGAATTCAGTCCGTACCGCGAAGAAACCACAACTCTTCACCATTACAAAGATCAACTGGTTAACCCTTGAAGCCTAAGCTCGTCTAAATAATATTTACGAATTCAGTCCGTACCGCGAAGAAACCACAACTCTTCACCATTACAAAGATCAACTGGTTAACCCTTGAAGCCTAAGCTCGTCTAAATAATATTTACGAATTCAGTCCGTACCGCGAAGAAACCACAACTCTTCACCATTACAAAGATCAACTGGTTAACCCTTGAAGCCTAAGCTCGTCTAAATAATATTTACGAATTCAGTCCGTACCGCGAAGAAACCACAACTCTTCACCATTACAAAGATCAACTGGTTAACCCTTGAAGCCTAAGCTCGTCTAAATAATATTTACGAATTCAGTCCGTACCGCGAAGAAACCACAACTCTTCACCATTACAAAGATCAACTGGTTGACGCTGTTTAAGGAAATAATCGCTGTTTACGCTGAGAATCATATGCAACATGAAAACACCGTGCGAACAAAATGCAGTGTTACTGAACGTTAGGGTAGCTGGTACATATAGTTACCATTGTAATTTAAAGGGTTAAATTAAAGGTAATGTTATTCTTATACCATGAACGTATACAAGGGAAGTTTACTTATTTATTTATTTTTGGATTATTTAATTGCGATGTTAATAGCGACTATATTTCCTCAAATCATATGATTAATAAACGATGAATTGGAAAAGGATATGGAAGGAAGCGGTCGCAGCTTGATTTAAGGCAATATTCTGACATTTACTTGGAGAGACTTAAGAAATGCACGAAAAACCCATTCAGGATAGGTAGACTCCCGGCCAAGATTTTAACACAGGACCTCCCAAATACGAAACAGGCGTGTCAGCCACTCAGATGCGAATAATTTCGATCAAGACAAATTGTTTTTTTTTTTTATAAAAGTTGGTACACATTGCCACAACGTTCTAATATTTATCCAGGGGGGTCTTTCTCTGGTTGTATACCAACCGAAGATCGAAAATAACAATTGAATTCTATCTCATACCGAGGTAGAGAATGCTTGGAGATAAAACCTCCACACACACACGTACGTCTTAATATTATTCGCGGGGCCGACTTCAGTTTTTAATGAATTCAGTTGCGCTGTTCGTTTCTTATGACCGATATGCCACTTTTACATTACCAGCATTCCGGGCAACTCCCCCCAGAAATGCAAACTGCTGTGCTGACTACGAAACCTGCTGGTCGACTCGGAAATTAAAACTAAATTTCAACAACACATTGAGCCCACGTTTGAAACAGAATTGTGTTTTCGCTTGTAGGAAGTAAAACCCAAATGGGCTGAATGGGAAACCAAAATAACGGAAAGCCTTATTTGAAACTGGAACGACACCGGAGAAAAGTCACGATAGAAAAGTAATAAAATCCGGAGACTAGTGAGAAAAGTTGATAATAACAGGGCTTCCTAGCAAAAATTATATTACCGTAACTGCATAACAACGATGTTTTAATATGACAACTTTATTTTCCATCAACAACAAGTGTTAAAAATCTTATTTGAGATTTCTAGACCTGAAGATGGAAGCAGTATGTTACTCCGAAACGTTGGTAAACAACTAAGGTGCGCAATAACCGAGAATACAACCAACTAAACTGTGCAAAAAAAACAACATTTTTTTTGACAGAAGTCTTCGTCGACTCATGTGTTCTGTGCACTTGCTAATACCGTCGGTTTAAACTGACGACGTTGAGGATTATCGTCCTTGCCGGTTGAGTTGGCAATAACAACACAGTGTGAGGTCGCTAGTGTCGACTTCCGTTCCGTCCGTTTTCACAGAAGCGTGAAGTGTGACAAAGATTCTTCAACGCTAACACGAGTTACTCTCATGATAAACATAGACGTAAGAGATAAACTTATCTAAACTTTTGCATGCATCGTATATTCAGTACCAAAAAACATTATTTTTTTATGTTTCTGAGCTATGCCGAAGCTCACCTAGATAATATATAAAGTTCCGTCCGTACCGCAATGAAAACACAACTCGTCACCATTACAAACATCAATCAACAATGCTGTTTGTGCTGAGAATCATACGAATTCCACAAATATAAAAAATACAGCGTTATTGACTGTTCTAGCAGGTGACAGAACTCTCCAGACACAAATTTATTACAACGCAGTTCCAACAATGGACATTTATCACCTAAAACACTTTAGTTTGAAGCTCATTGTTTTGACACACTAACACGCAAGGCTAATTTTGGGAACTCCGGTATACAAAAAGGTGTGTTTCTTTCGCAATGTTGCAGATACGCTTAATTCCGATTTATAGACACACGAACATATGTTCTCTCTGTAACCTGATCAGAGGTCATAATACATCACTTAACCAGAGTCTGTGGTAGTTACAATTTTCCTCACCAGATGGCAGGAA